GCTGCCGCTGTTGTTTTATATTTGTAGAAAAACACAGCGGCGACGGCTGGATTCACTCCGCGCAGGAAAGCGGCGTGAGCCTCCGAACGGACACGCGGATCTCTCGTTCCGCTCGCCACGCTTGCCCCCCCCCCCCCCCCCCAAAAAAAAGCCCCCACAAGCAGCGCCCAAAGCCACCGCCGCCGCAGCCGCAGCAGCAGCAGCGAGATCCGGTGGGGGGCAGCCCGAGGGCTGGAGGACCCTTCCCTTTTCCTCGGCTCTTTTAAAAAGAATAAACGTCGCGCGCGCGCGTAAATAAAATGCCTCGGCGGAGTCTGCGTTTTATTATTTATTATTTACAGCCCCCCCCCTCCGGCTCACCGCCCCCCCCCCCCGCCGTCGTTTAGCACACGGAGGTTGCCCGGGAAACAGACTGAACGTAACAACGGGGACTGTGCCATCTGCCGCCGCGGATCTCGGTATCTTCCGTTGCGAGGGGAGGCGGGGGGGGGTGGAGGAGGGAAAGAGGAGGAGGAGGGGGGGCAGTGGGTGAATTCGGCGCGGCCGTGACCAACCGGTGGGAAGGCCGAACCCTACGGATCGAGGAAGCCACCCAAACCACCGCCCCCGACCAACGTCACACACCACATACACACACACACAGCATACATTTACACACACACACAGCATACATTTACACACACACACATCATACACACACCACCCCCTCTCCCAGCCTCTCTCCGTCTCCCTCCTCCTTCCCCCAGCCCCCCGCGCCCCCCAAGATTCCCACCACCTACCGATGCCGACGTTCAGCAGACCCCCCCCTCCTGACTCCGAATGTGCCAACAACGCATCCGCGCCCATCACCGTTTTCCGCCGTGCTGCCCCCCAGCTCTGCCGGAGTGAACCTGCCCCCCCCCCTCACCCCACAGCCAGGATTCAGCATCGCAAGAGGTCAAACGAATGCGGGGAACTACCGGGGGGGGGGGGGGGGGGGGGGGGGATAGGGGCTGGAAATAACTCGGAGGTGGTCGTGGTGCTTGGTCGGATGCTGGAGATGATGGCCAACATCCGTTTTAAAAATCCTTTATTTTTGTTTACATCCTTCATTTTTTTCTTGAATCTTTCAATCACCCGATTGCCCCCTTCTGGGATCGCACTGCCGCCGTCGACAATCCACGAATTTCGCCCAGATCCGGAACGGAGGGAAGGCGGACGCGGAGCGGAGCAACGTGGACGTCCAGAATTAAAAAACACCTCATCCCGGGACGATGCGCACCAAATCTCCTTCACGAATGGAAAATGAAAGGCACTTTAAGCCACAGGAGTGCGATTGGTGGCCATGCAACCCAAACTCTGGACCCTGTATTAAACTCACAGAGACCCATGGAGATGCATTAAACCCACAGAGACACGTAGACTCTCATTAGATACATGGAGATACATTAAAAGACACAAAAGCCACAGCAGTGCGATTGTGGCCATGCAGCCCAAACTATGGATCCTGTAGTAAACCCAGAGACACGTAGAGACACAGAGACCCATGGAGATGCATTAAACCCATAGAGACACGTAGACTCTCATTAGATACATGGAGATACATTAAAGACACAAAAGCCACAGCAGTGCGATTGTGGCCATGCAGCCCAAACTATGGATCCTGTAGTAAACCCAGAGACACGTAGAGACACAGAGACCCATGGAGATGCATTTAACCCATAGAGACACGTAGAGACTCATTAGATACAAGGAGATACATTAACGACACAAGCCACAGCAGTGCGATTGTGGCCATGCAGCCCAAACTATGGGCTGCAGAGTAAACTCACTGTGGTCTGCGCTCCAACAGAGGAGGATGAACAGCAAAACGACACAAACTCTCTCTCGGCTCACTCAAGCACTCTCGTCATGGCCAGCAGCAGACCTTAACATTGGCATTGAGCTCATGAACATTCCGCCATCATAGGCCAAGAACAGAAAATACGTTTCCTTTCGTCTCTCCCAGCTTTCAAACCCTAACGTTGCTATTGGCGTGACGACACAAGGTGAACCCCCCCCCCCCCCCCAACTCTTTTAGAGAACGGCCTGTGGAAGGAGATGTCACGCAGGTAGTTCTGAGAGATCCCTCTTCCTGTCCGCTCTCACGAGGGGCGGTAGTATCCCCGCCCCACTCTGCCACGGAGAGTAACGTCGGGTTGCAAGGCAGTCAAACCGATAATTTTAAATTCTCAGAATTCAGAAACATTTTAATGCGGAACTGAGTGAAACGTTACGTGATGGGGACTTTTTTTTTAATAATTAGTAACCGGGCTGACACCAACGACTCGGTAGAAGTGAGAACCCGGCTTGACTACGAGTGGCTTGCCTGGGATCAGCTGGGCACCGCCGAGAATCAAGGATTCCCGGCGGTGTCCATCCGACACACTCAGCCATCCAGTCATTGAATTAGAATTTTTTTTTACAGAATGTTCTTTTAAATGGACTGGCGATGAGGAGGCTTTGGATAAAAAAAAAAATAATGGGTCAGGATTCAAACTTTGATGCGATAGTCGATGGCAGCGAGGTTCCCGATCGCGGCTCATCGCCAGGGTCACATTTTCGGGGTGAAGGCTTACCCCACCGTCAAAAAATACAACGGTGCAATTTGTCTTCATTCGCTCGTCGATTGTGACATCGATTCCTGACGCTCGCACGCAACCCCACGCGGAGAAGAACCCACGAGCCGTCGATTAACAACGATGCCCTGGAAATTATTAAAACTTGATGTCACAATCAGCCTAATTGGGAGTGACCAAAATTATGCAAATTAGGCAGCACAACTCATCAACACACAACAATGAAAAAGATCCCCCGTGTAGCCTTAACAGACTGTTGGGGCAAGTGCTGTTAAGCCCGACCGCCTTTGTCTCCCCGGTGGTGATGTTTACACAGCACACCAGGTACTGATTTGAGATTGAGTCGTCCTAGGAGAAGCCCAGGATGGGTTCAGATAATCATTACTGGGTGTTGGCCGTGAGCGGGAATTGAACTCGGGTCGCCAGGTTCGTAGCGCAGCGCAGCGCTAACCGCTACACGACCACTCCCCACACACACACACAGAGACACACAGACACACACAGAGACACACACACACACAGAGACACACACACACACACAGAGACACACACACAGAGACACACACACACACAGAGACACACACACACACACAGAGACACACACACAGAGACACACACACAGACACACACACAAGGAACCGCACGAAACATATTCGACGGACAACAAATAGATTCCAGAATCGAAACTGACGTCAAAACGCGACAATCCATCTGTAAGGAATTCACGGACTACTAAAACATGTAAATTGTCACGCGATTGAACAACTCACCTCAGGGGAACATATTAAACGCAGGTCGTTCTGTTTAACAAAATCATAAACATGCAAAATCAATCGTTCCAACAAAGCGCGTGCGCGCGGGAACGCAAGCTCGCACGCGCGGGAATCGTGAAGATGTAAAAACAGCGACCACATTCACGAAGGCGAGGAATTGTCCAGCCACGAACCACACCGACTACTCGAGGTGGGGGGGGCAGCGGAGAGAAGAGCGAGGGGAGGGCTGCGGGGGGGGGGCTACCAACCATTGCAGCCCCCACAAGAGGGTCACCCCCCACGTGTTTAAACGCTCGGCTGAGTCTGATCGGACGCGACATGAAACGCTTTGGGGGAACAGATTCACACGGCGCACACAGAGGAGTCCTCTTCCGGTTTGGCCACACAGTGACTGTATGAGATTAATAATTAGAACAGAAAGTCAAGCGCGCTGTTACGGAGAGGCAAACGGCGAGGCCCCCACGCGTAACGTTTCTTCGCACACGAGAGTCGCCGTCTTTAAACCCGCGGACGTTCTCTGCACGTACTACAGAGGATCACACCGCGATTGTGTGTGCGTGTGTGCGTGTGTGCGTGTGTGCGTGTATGCGTGTGTGCGTGTGTGTGTGCACGTGGGGAGCGGTAGTGTAGGGGTTAGCGCGCTGCGCTACGAACACGGCGACCACGAGTTCGATTCCCGCCCACAGCCATCACCCAGTGACGATTATCTGAAACGGTACTGGGCCTCCCCCTAGGTAGACTCAGCCTCAAATGAGACAAAGGCGGTCGGGCGTGGTGCTGGCCACCCACCCCCTCCTGTGCCGTGCCGGCCTTCATAGGCGCTCGCAAACAGCACTTGCCCCTACAGCCTGTGCGTACACCGTCAATAAATCTGGAGTTATTTTAACCTCGGTTACAGAGATAAAGTATCGGACACACCAGGCAGTTTTTACGCTCGAGGCGTGCCGGGGGCAAGTGTTTTTTGTTTATTTTTTTAAAACAGACCCCACGAGATTAGTGGAGGCCTGGTGGCGCAACGGTCTCGGTTCGATTTGCGAGCCACGGCCAGCATCAGTGGCGAGTGACATCGGCCGAGCCGCTCCTGGCGCAGCCTCCGCCGCCGCCGCCACCCCCCGGACCCACCCACGTTTCACCAATCCACACCGATCGGCGTGGTGAAATATGGTCAAAATAAATCCCTCTACCGCCACAACACAGGATGGGAAGGCTTCAATCCGCCACCTCGGCGCGGTGCTCAAGTTCGTCGCGAGATCGCCCGGCACCACGCCGACGTTTCTACGACAGAGAGAGAAAAAAAATCCTCTCCCCTAGCCGTCAAGAAAACTTTTTTTTTTATTTAACCAGGCAAGGCCCACCCGGAGCCGCTACGAAAGTCTCTTTTTGTCGCAAATGACAAGCCCCCAACGACGCGGGTCGTCGTCACGTGGACATTATCTTTGAGCGCGCCGTGACGTCGATTCCATACGTGGAGGAGGGGAGGGGGGAAAAACCGGAGGACCCGGAGAAAAATCCACGCGACCACGGGGAACAGTGAGAGAGAGAGACGACGCGCAAACATACGGCTCAACGAAGTGGCTCGTCACCGCGCGGAAAATGTCATAAAGCAGCAGTTGAAGACTCTAAAACGCACCTTTTGTATGCTCCGTCCTGCCACCCTTGTTCAGTGCCGAAGTTAAAAGTGCCGCGCGTGTGCACGCCGTTTTGGTGTCCGTGATCAGCGCCGGCGCGGCTTGCCCCGCCTTGCCCCGCCTTGCCCCGCCGTACCGCAGGACACCGGGCCGTAGCAGATCCACTTTTTGAACCTCCAAACATTTCTCGGACCGCCACACCCTACATCGACTACCCGGTGATTTGACATTGCACATTCATTTCCTTGGCGAGGATGTCGTTATTAATTTTGTCGTCTTTTACCGTGGACGCCCCCCTGTGGTAGTAGCAGTAGCATCGGGGGACCACCAGGCGGCCTGCAGACCCACAGGGTAGGTGGTGAACAGCTGATCTGGAGACTCCGTGGGTTTATTTGCGGGGGGGTGGGTGGCGAGGGGAGGTCCCCGCAAAACCAAGGCACCGCAGAGCAGTCGCTTAGGTAACCCCCTCCCCCACTCTCCGTTAACCGTGGAATCTGACCGCTCGCCGCCGCGTACCATCACCAATGCGCTGTGCTGGTCACACACACACACACAGACTGCGAGCTCGCTAGCATACTAGAACCTAAAAAATATTAGCCGGGTTGTTTTTTTCCCCAGGTAAGGCCCACAGTTGTTTCGCTCTTTTTCAGACGCTCAACGGAGCGGCTTCTCACATGTTCATTTACAGCGGCCAAACATTGGAAACGCACGTTGTTGTTGTTGTTTCTAAATGTGGCGGGGGGAGAGGGGGGAAACCGGAGGACCAGGAGAAAAATCCACGCGACCACGGGGAGAGAGAGACACCGCAATCTCCAAATATACAGCAGCAGGCGTCAGGGGTCGGGATCGAACCCACGACCTCCTGTACACCAGGCGAGGCAGTTAACATCTCATGATCTCATGATGGCGCCCTGAATAATAACACCACAGTGCCGAGTCCGATTACAAAATGGACTCAAGAGGATGGATACCGCACATCCGCCAGGTCACCGGGTCCAAAGTCGTCGGGTGCCGGAGACCTTTCTCCCCCCACCCCACCACCACCCCCCTGGAGACTCAGCAGGGTCGGTGTGGTCAGGCCCGCCGTGCGTACGCACTGTATTTCTCCGTGTGCTGACCCACCACTCAACATACCCCCCCCCCTCCTCTCTCGACGTCCACTTGCACCTCTGGCGTCACAGCCGCCCTCCCCCCCCCCCGACGTAAGTCGCCTGCGATCGGAAGTGACAAGCGCAGCCAGAAATCCTTTTTTTCCTCTCTCTCTCTCTAGCGCTCTTTCTCACACACACACACACACGCCGCACTCACGCACGCAATTCTCCAGCGCCGGGCAAACAGAGCTATCGGCTTACGGCCGCGTACGTCAGCGGCGGCCTCCGAGCGGAAAGCGGGGCGAGCAAAGGCTTAGGAGCCCCGGGTGCTCAGGGGCACCTGGATTTGGGGGTGGGGAGGAAAGAAAAATAGGCGAGCAGAGACAGATCTTAACGCGGTGGTTCATGCAGACTCGACGCCTTGCGAGTCGCAAACCCCCGTTTGGCATTCGGACATCTTAACACCTCTCGCGTTGTTGGCAGAGAGGGTAAATCCCAGCCCTCTCCCGGTTTTTTTTCCCCCCCTTCGTCTCTCGATTCATCTGCCGTGTCGCACCAAGACAACGTTCCCCCCCCCACCCATCCCCCACCACCGGGCAAGCACCACCGCGGGAGCGCGACACTACGTGGCATTTGGACACGGATCGTCGTGGAACCAAGGCGGGATGATGATGCTGATGATGATGATGCTGATGATGATGCTGATGATGATGCTGATGATGCTGATGATGCTGCGAGCGGCGGGGGTTGCCGGGTGACGGGGGCGGGGTGGGGATGCGTGACATCGGCGGAACACAAAAAATGTTTCCATTCAACGGTAGGAGGAGGTCGTCTTCGACAGACGCGATTCATCCCCTCTCCACGCGCGGTTTACGGTGGGGAGGGGGGAGTGGGGGGGGGGCGCGTGGACCGCGATTGCGTGCGCGCAATTTTTTGCCCGCCCGCCCGCGACGCGTGGCATCAGTGTGTGCGGAAAGGAGATTGAACCGGCGCGCCCTATGGCGGCGCCTGCGACGACGGGCGCCGCCACCTGTTGCCTAGCTGCAAAGGAAGCGAGGCCGCGCGCTCTCTCTCTCTCTCTCTCCCTCTCTCTCGCTCTCTCGCGAGGGTGGTAAAGCAGTGGGCACCCACCCCCCCTCCCCCACCGGCCGGTGTCGGTGGCGATGATGTCTGCCCACCGCACCGGGGTAACTCCGTTTGCGGCCGAGTGGACCCAGGCGAGGCCCAGGACTGGGGATCGGATCAATCGCCGTCGCCGGTGTCGGGCCTCGGTGGACGCGGGCGGGAATCGAACCCGGGTCGCGGGGTTTTCGTGGCGTGGCGTGGCGCCATACAATTCTCCCCTTGTCGTCATCGCGTTGAGATGACACACTGCGGTGAATCAACCGGAAGAAAAGCACACACGCACGCACGCACGCACCCGCTCTGCTCCATACGCTCTCCAGAGGCGGTCAGACAATTTATCGTGTCCACCTGGCCACCGGCTAACCACCACCACCACCACCACCACCCCCCCCCGCTCCCCAGCAGTATCGTCACCTAACAGCTCACGGACATTAACCGTTTACACCGCGGCCGCACAGGACAAATGGCGAGAGAGAGAGAGAGAGAATTTAAACTAGTTTGGAGTACGGACGGCTTCATCCGTTTTGCTTGTTCAAATGTTTATTTTACCAAGTAAGACCGCACCGAGTTATATAGCCTCTTTTTTTCAGAAGCGACCTGGCCATCACAGATGATAGATAGCTCAACGAAGTGGGCTTATCACGTGGGAATCTACAGCGGGCCAAATACCCTAAACCGCGTGATGTTGATTCTAAATGTGCAGGGGAAAAACCGGAGGACCACAGGAATATAAAGAGACACGCAGACTCCAAATACACAGCAGGCGTCGTCAGGGTCGGGATCTAACCCATGACCCTCCTGTATACCAAGCGAGGTAGTTAACATCTCTGAGCGAGCGTGATGATGATGAGAGAGAGAGAGAGACACGCAGACTCCAAATACACAGCAGGCGTCGTCAGGGTCGGGATCTAACCCGTGACCCTCCTGTATACCAGGCGAGGTAGTTAACATCTCTGAGCGAGCGTGATGATGATGAGAGAGAGAGAGACACACAGACTCCAAATACACAGCAGCAGGCGTCGTCAGGGTCGGGATCTAACCCATGACCCTCCTGTATACCAGGCGAGGTAGTTAACATCTCTGAGCGAGCGTGATGATGATGAGAGAGAGAGAGAGACACACAGACTCCAAATACACAGCAGGCGTCGTCAGGGTCGGAATCTAACCCATGACCCTCCTGTATACCAGGCGAGGTTAGTTAACGTCTTCGCCCCTAGCATCCTCTGGGTTAGCTCTCGCAAGCGTCAAGCAGAAACACCCGTGGAGGGAGGGTAAATTGTCGTTTCGTGGGGAGGCCGGGGAAACGTTTGTTGGTTTTAGCGGCGAGGGGGGAGGGGGCATCGGGACCCTCGCAATCCGGATTGAGGGCCGCTGCCCCTGCAGGGGAAGGGGTTAACGGGGTTTTATTTATTTATTTTCAGCGACGGGAAGAACCCCGGAACAAACGGGATGATTCATCATGGCGCTGTGCGGTTGAGCCGTTCGGTATATTTGTTTGGGCAATTTGGCAGGGGGCCCTCGAGTTTAATGCGTTATTTATTATTATTATTACTACTACTACAGGTAAAGCTCCACCGAGCTATGGAACTCAACGAAGCTCCTCACGTGGATACTTATAGCAGCAGCCAAATAAACATATTTATATACTCCATGACCAAAATTAAGACAGACATCGGGTGGCCGCGTGGGCCAGGATATCAAGCGCGCGGCAACGACGGCACCGTTCAGAGCCGCGGCTTGCGGAGCGAAACGCCGGACGACGCGCTGAACGAGCACAAGCGAAGAGCGTTAGCGGCGCACTCGGGGCACACGTCTCAGCAAGTTGCTCAAACAAATTCACCGGAAACCAAAACGATCAGGGGGCGACGAGTCGGACGTGTTGCAGGAAGGACGATAAGGAGAGAGACGGTCGGACTAGCATCGACAGTTCCCGTCCGTTTAAACTCGGCCCATCGGCTAAAATGTAATCTCCGTGTGACGAGCGCGTGACGCCGACGCAGCGCGACGCGAACGCGAGAGGTTGAGCTCGGAGTGCGACGGCACGGCGTCATCGCCGCAACGTCGCGCGTCCCACCGCCCGCACGACACACGTGAACTGGCGGCCCGGTTGCTCGTCACAGATTGACGTCTGGGCGGGGGGTGGGGTTAGGCCGCGTGACGGGCCGTCGACCAAATCACCCGACACGAGTCTCACGTTGGCGGGGGGGGGGGTGGTCACATGGCCGGTTCGTTCACGTCAATTGTCCCGTGGGAGTTTCGATTTTTTTTTTATCTGCGGAAGTGCCACCGGGTGGGACTGTACTTCCCTCGCCTGGCTCCGCTGCCTCCCCCCCCCCCCCCATTCGAATGCCACGACAGATGTGTTTGTATTTTTTTGTGATCGCATGAAGTTAAGTTATCTTCAAAATTCAGAAGAGAGCCGTCCCGCCTTCGTTTGCGAGCATCCACACTTCGAACGGCCCAGGAGCTACACGGCATTTGGCCGACCCCCCCCCCACTCCTTGACTCAACTAGGCCTGAACTGGCTCTTGGCACCGGCTCACTGCAGCCACTTGGCGGGCCATCGGACAAAGACGGTGGGGTGACCGCATCGCTCGGCGCTTTCACATGCGCCCCAGCGGTCGTCTGGAACGCTCTTCCTTTCCGATGTTAGGAAGCGACCGGGAGCTATGAACTTCAACGAATCTGAACGGATCCTCCTCGCCCGATTAAATAAACACCATCGTGGAACGAGATGGTTACTTTTCATTTATTTCAATATAAAAAAAGCATGTATATCGGGAAAAAAAGCTGCTACGAACCTCAACGGCTCTTGCAACGGTTAAATAATGGAGATAAAAAAAAAATTCTCAAATAACGATGAATCCCGACGGCTCGCACTTTTGGTCTAAAAAAAGGAAAAGCTGTCAGCTGACGGGAGATAATGAATGTGAGCGGCTTCTCACTTGATTAACTAAAGGACATCGCAGGAGGTAAATAACTTCCTGCAAATGGCTCTCTCATTTTGACCGAGAACCCCCATCGTGAGGATCCGTAAATCTCAGCCGGCTCTCTCGTCTTGTAAAAATAAACAACATTAATAATAATCATAAAATGTATGACTGTACACATACTGGAGTCTGGATCCGTGAACCTCGTGCATTAACAATGAACTCTGAAATCCCAAGGATTTAAGGTGGCCTATAAGCCCTTGCCATTAAATGTAAACATAACTTCGGCTATGTTACAGACAACAAGCGAATGGTTATTTCTACAACGAGCTGGTATAACCTGTCCGATGAATGAGCTACCCCTTCTCCCTCCCCCTCCCTCCTTCACAAACCGAATCCTTAACAAAAGTGCACTGCGTAACCCGAGGCCTTGTTTTTAAAAAAAACTATCCCCCCCATCTCCCAACCCTCAACTGATTTTTTTTTTCCCCATCGACAATGCTAGAGAAGAGAGTCGGAGACGTTTCGAAAAAAAAAGACAACTCAATTAGCACAACAGCACAAGGAC